CTCTCCCCCTCCCCAGGCATGGCTGAGGCAGCCAAAGGACAAAGCTCAGTCAGTGAGTGCTGAAGGTGAGGAAAGGCTGGTCTTGATCCCAAAGTCTTGCTGGAGTCTGTTTGCCTTTCAGCACCGTGCCAGATCAGCAGGGCTAATTCCAGGAGTGCTGGGGTAATAAACAGCAATCACAGCTGGGGGAATGGCCATGACCTTTCCTGCACCCGTCCCCAAGAGCCACAAAGGGCAAAGCCCAGCTTAGGCCAGCTGGGCTGTGGAGAACATGACCACAGAGGGAATGTGCAAGTGGGAATGTCCTTGGAAAGGACAATGCTGTCCACCTGGACACTGAAATGCCACTTCCCTTGGCAGGAGCTGAAGCTGGCTGAGCCTTTTCTAGAAGATCCTCAATGTAATTGCACTCAATTTTATTTATTTATAAATTTAAACTGCTGACAGCATTTAATTCATTACTGAAATCCTCCTCTCATCCCAAGTCTCAGGAGAGGCCTCATCAAATATCGTTCCCTCCCTGCTTTAATGGAGTATTATATGCTGCAATATTTGCCTGGGGAAATAAAAGCATTAGGTGCCCTGTTTTGGGTAAAAGTCGAGAGTCTGCTATGGTCACCTCTCTGGCACACTGTGTAACAAAGCAAGGTAAATTAGATTAAATCATATTATAACCAGAATTCTTAATATGCAAAATACCTTGTATACCACTTAACTATCTGATGGGTTTGCTGGGAAGATAAAAAGAGAGACTTCTAAAGTAATAAAGCAGTTGAGGTGTTTTAAATGGAATTAGTATGAAATCTTAAACTCAAACACAAGGTCAGATCCTACTGAGCTCCTGGAAAGGGAAACACTGCACACCCTGAGCCAAGTGGCTGACTCTTGCCTTTCATTTCCAAAGGGAATTTAATAGAAGCAGGCTGCCCTCGCTATCTGAGACATCTTTCTGAGGGTTGGTGGGTCTCTAAAGTTATCTCCTCTGCTTATTTTGCCCTGCCAATACGAGGTTTTTCAGACAAGCCAAATCTGAGGCTGTTAATGCAGAGCAAGGAGACCACGTTGGTCTGCAGGTCCTTCCCTCCCTGAGGGTTTCAGCATAAATCTCGTGCATGGAAATGGTCGTAATTCAGTTAAATTCCATTACAAGGGGAACAATCTGCTTTTCTGCCTGAATGGCTTTATTTCCTATAAGTTTTGAAAGAAAAATAGAACGTTTTAAGTAAGTGCTTTTGTTAAAAACATCTGCCTGTTAAGAAGAAGGAGAATTTGCTTCCATTTCATAAGAAATAGTCAAACACTCAATGTACCCTTCCTCGTTTCCATCTCGTGGGCCTCTTCTCCTGGAGATGCCCAGCAGTGTTGCCAGACCATGAAAATGCTGAGGCCCAGGTATGGCTGAGTATTCCAACCTGAGCACCATATTTTTGCAGCAAAAAAATGTTGTTGCAAGATATTTTCAGAGGGAAATATTCCCTAATACTGAAAAGGTGCAAGGACCAAAGGAGAGTTATAGGTGTATGAGGACAAGGGGGTGATGAGCATCCACTCAGCTTCTGAAATTCCTTTGGTGATCTAGATATATATATATATATATACACACTCACACACTATTTATATATATATATATATATATATATATACACACTATATATACTATAAATTATGTATATTATATATAAATATATAAATATATATGAATATAAATATATAAAAATATAATATATATTATATATATATAACGTATTGTATATGTTATATATTGTATTTATATTATATTTATAATTATATTATATATTATAAATTATAAATATATATAAATTATATTTTTTCTTCTATATATATTTATAAGCTCTAAACAATTAAATCTTTGTACATGTGCCTAAAAGCAGCAACAGTCACCATTTATGAGCAGTGAAACTGCCAAACCCCATCCTCAGCAGGGTTAATTGTCCCCATTCCACCACAGCCACACAGCAATGTTGCTCCACCCTCCTGGCTTTGAGCCTGCTCCTCCAAAGAGCTCCTCTAACACCAAACTGCTGTTTCAGTGCAAAGACTCTCGTGGACTCCAGTGGGAATTTGGGTCAGTCATAATTCAGGCAATCAGCCTGGAACCATGCAAAGCAGGAACAATTATACGAGTTCTGTCATTCCCATTACTCCGATTTTATTTATATTTCTTTTTTTTTTTTGGAGGTAGGTGAGAGGGAAACCTTTTATCTCAGTGAAGAGTAAGAGAACCTTACAGTGACAGCAAAGGGAAAAAAAGCACCTGTGCCTTCGCAAAACACGTCTTCATTACAATGCACTAACATGCATCACAGAAATAATACATGTTTGTGATGGCAATGTACTGCTGCCACTCCACTGCTGAATTTGGGGTGCAACTGGGGGAAAGGAAGAAGAGATGCTCTGGATTCAAAATGCTCCCCCAGACTTACCTTTGCTGGGATTTCATTGGCTTTCCTCCCTGCAATGTGCTCATGGGGAACACAGGTATGACTTCCAAGTTGCACTACACACTCTGGATTCAAAATGCTCAAATTTAGAGACACAGAGATATCAGACTCAGAAAAAATGGGATGCTCAAAATTAGACAGCTTCTGGGGGGGTTCAGATGCCTTTGTGTAAATAGCTCACTTTAAGTCAATTCCTGATAAGGGAATAGGAAGTCTTTCAATTTATCTCATCATAACCTAATCAGCACCTAATGGTGTCTTGTTTTGAGAAACTCTTAACCTTTCTTTTTTTCTGGACAGTCTTTGAAAGCCAAATTCAGCTCTACTTTCAGATTTTTAAAGGAAGTGAATAATTTGTAAAACCCTGCTGAGAAGACTGGAAGTAACATCAGAAAGGGTTAGAAGTCTTCTATGTAAAATGGTAACACAACTTCTCCTTCTGTATCATTTTGGCCTCCTCTGACACAAAATAGACCTGCAATAAAATGAGTTCCAGAGGGGTGGAACAAAATGGTAAGGAGTCAAAAAGCAATTTCCATATGAGCAAATCAGAGGTGGTAAGATGGCTTAGTTTCCAAAGAGGGAGAAGCTTAAGAAAAATTATGCAAATGGTATATGCATTTAACTAGCAAGGCACTTAAGTTTACAAAGCTTTGTGTCTAGTTCAACTTCAGAATCAATTAATGTAATTAACGTTACTTTTAGAACTTTTCTCTTGGATACTTACAGATCCATCCAGCACAGTGCTAGAATTAGATCTTATCCACTAAATTAGGTGGCAAGCCACGAACATTTACTGGTACAAGTTTGTTCTCCAGCACTATATTGAATTTATCTTTCAGTGTCTTCTCAAGCTCTTCGTCTGTAAGAGTTGTGATGCGCATCAGGTCCGTGTCCTCTGTGTAGTTATACTTCACCTCAGTCAAGGTCCATCCAACCAAGGCAATGAGCCCTTCCGTGGTCTGGAGACTGCAGATTGACTTCTTCTGAAGTATGTTATCTGGAGACACTTGGAGGTACGTGTTT